TTCTCATCCACAGACACAGCAACCTAGACGCCCATGTGCAAAAAGATCAGGAACTCAAGACATGTTGGCAATTTGGGTCCTGTTTCCAAGGAAGAACACAAGGGAATCTTGTGTTTTTCTTTCAGGTTTCCTCCTAACGGCATTTCAAAACAAGCTTTCCTCTATACCTGCTCCAGGATCTATTCGATGAGATACATCTCTGACTGGCAGGGCTAGGGGAAGAAGAATTGCTCTGATTCCTTTGTCAGATTCAGAGATTTGCACATCTACTGTTGTATTAATGGTGCAGTGGCTAGAGCTCCACTTTGGTCCCATACCCTTGCAAGTGTAATTCTTATTTTGTTGTTTTCTCTTTCCTTTTTTTTTTTTTGAGTTGGAGTCTCACTCTGTCGCCCAGAGTGGAGTGCAGTGGCCACTCCCGGCCACCGCAGCCTCGACCTGATGGGCTCCGGCGATCCTTCCGCCTCAGCCTTCCCAGTAGCCGGAATTACAGGCATGCGCTACCACGCCCGGCTGATTTTTTGATTTATTGTAGAGATGAAGTCTCGCCAAGTTGCCCAGGCAGGTCTCGAACCCGCGGGCTCAGGCAATCCACTCATCTCAGCCTCCCAAAGGCGCAGGATTACAGTCTGAGCCACCGAGCCCGGCTATCCTTTTTCTATTTTTAAAGATAAGCCTCCTCCCTACCCTCCACAAACAACTGCCCACCTTCTCTAAGAGCTAGAGGTTGAGTGTTCTCAAAGTCAGCCAGGAGTCCGCGACAGCTCTTGACTATTGCAAATAGAAACATAACCCTGTCCTGCGTGTGCTTCATGGGCTGTCTCGTCAGCGCCACTCTGCACAGCCAAGGGCCGTGCAGGGCTTCTGAGTCAGCAGCCAGCTGTCCCAGACAAAGCATGCAGGATATTGTTAGCTGGTGGAGACGGCACGGATGCCCTGGAAACCTGGCATCACCTCCTCTTCCTCCTCCCTCCTCAGGCTCCTCGCTTCCCGTACTCCTTCCTTCTACACCTTGGCTTTTCAGTTCCTGGGATTTCTGGCACCTTACTGCCAGGTTTCCTGGCCTCCAGGTTCTGTGAGTATGAATAGCATTCAGGGGTTGATCTAGGAGGGGCAGGAGGAGCATGACTTGGCTTTGACCTTCAGGAATGAGGGAAGTGGGGGCGATAACAGGAACGGCCCTTCTCGTGGCCTTCTCCCCAGCTGTTGTCAGAGTGAATCAGAGTGCTGGACAAGTCCCTTGCAAAATGCGACAGTCCCAGTCCAGCACTCGAGCTGTCTTCCTGTGCAGGCATTTGGTTTGCAAAGTAGGAAAAGTGAGGCAGCCCGAGGGAATTCATCTTGTGTAGTCTTACTCAGGGAGCCTGTAGCATTGTTCAAGGAACTGACCTGCCTCTACTAATCTGTTGTCATTAGTGCCCTACGGGTCGCAATCCTTTAGACTGGGCACTTAATACTCACATACCGCTCGGAAGCAGGCACTCTGCAGCCCACTGGAAGCTGTGGCTGGAACCTGTTACTTTGGGAGTGTTTTTCACCAGCAGAAGAACTGGTAGCAGTTATGACTTGAAGGCATATGTCTGTGGTTAGCAGACCTTTGGAAGTGAATATTTCACACAGAGTAGGCTACAACCAACCAAGGAGATATTAGCCCACACAAAAGGCTGAGCTCTTTGGAAATAAATGTTCCCGACTCTCTTTTAGGGGAGATGTGAGCCAAAGCAGGTGCTATGACAGAGAAAGGATTTTGGAAGTACGGGTTGCAGGATCTTTCATGACTGGTTTCAGCAAGAACATCATGGCTCTGAGTGCTCTGAATCCTGGCAAGGAGTGGAAAGTGGCTGCTTCTGTTTAGGAACAAAGAAGAGTCATTTTCTTCCTTGACATGAGGTATAACTAGATCAGGCCAGGTGGATTCTGCTTTTGTCAAACATCAGGACTCTGATGAAATTCAGGTTGACTGTGGACACAGGTGGGTATGTGGGGTCAGGGTTACTCAGTGCTGTCTACTTGCTAAAGAACCAGTGAAGCTGTGGAAATCCCAACCAAGAGGGCAGGAGGCCGAGAGGATGCTTGGTGTTGCAATGCTCTGCTTTGTTTCTACTCATTGGTTGTTACCTGTCACCATTTCTTCTGCCGTTGACTAAGCTCATCTGACCTTCCCACCCCTACAAGCTGTCTTTTGACTGTCTGCCAATCCTAAGATAAGCCTTGGCCTATGAGAAAGACAGTGGGCTCTTTTTAGGAACTGTAAACTATTTCTCTTGCTGCTACCTAGCATAAACCTTAATTTTGGGGAAACTGTTCCAGTTAATTCCATTTCTTACTGGCCTCTTGGTCATGTGGCTGTTGGGACGAGCTGTGTTTGTTAGCAGTGTAGCTCTTTGTCTTTGTTTTTTTAATTTTAGGATCAGGGTGTACATGTGAGGTTTGTTACATAGATGTATTCCATGAAGGTGAGGTTTGGGCTTTTGACTGTCTCCCCCCGACACCCCCATGGTGAGCATGGTACCAGTGGGTAGTTTTGCAGCTTTTATCCTTCCTCCTTCCCTCCTTTAGCGGTGCCCAGTACCTGTTGTTCTCATCCTTATGGCCATGTGTGCCCAATGTTGAGTATCCACTTATGACTGAGAATATGCAGTGTTCCGTTTTGTTTCTGTGATGATTCACTTAGAATGATGGCCCTCCAACTGCATCCATGTTGCTGCAAATGCCATGATTTCGTTCTTTCTTATGGCTGCAGCGGTATAGTTTTTAATATCCAGAGCCAGGAGAGGTTACTGAGTAAGTGATAGATTTAGGTGAGAAGCCAGGCTGGTGTGTTCTGTCTTTGACTTGTCCTCACAGTGCATGATGAGTTGTGCCTGTTAACGTAGAATCAATCATGAGGGGTCACAGCGGGGGTGGGGGTTGGCAGTGTCTTATATTTATTTGGTTGTGATTGTCTCTCATGAAACTTAAGATGTATGTCCAGTTGGTTTGGTTTAATATTTTATTTTATTTTATTTTATTTTATTTTATTTTATTTTATTTTATTTTATTTTATTTTATTTTATTTTGAGTTGGAGTCTTACTCCATCGTCCAGGCGGGAGTGCAGTAGCGTGCACATGGCCATCCCAGCATGGACCTGCTGGGCTCTGGCGATCCTTCCGCCTCAACCTCCCAAGTAGCCAGAACTACAGGCGTGTGCCACCATGCCCGGCTAATTTTTGATTCATTGTAGAGACGAGGTTTTGCCCAGTTGCCCAGACTGGTCTAGAACCCGTGGCCTCAGGCAATCCACTCACCTCGGCTTCCCAAAGTGCTGGAATGACAGACTGAGCCACCGAGCCCGGCTGATTTGGTTTAATCATAAAACCATAGTGAGGTGTGGGAAGAAACAGAATGTTACTTCTACTTCTCATGAGGATTCTGTTGTTCAGTGTCTTGCCCAAAGTAAGAGCTTCAGGATAGAACCCTGGATCTTCTCTGTGTCACTCTGAAAGGTGGTTCTGTCTTCCAATAATTGATTTTATCAGCACCTGCACCTTGGGGGCTCTCACTATCCTTGGGCTGGTGCACAAAATAGCAGACTACTTCTTGCTTCCAGTCCTTTCTGAGCATAGTGCACCAATCACTCCCTTCTTCCATCTGCCCCCACCTCCAAGGGTAAAGCCTTTTAAAGCAAAGTCCCAGTCCAGTCGTGTTCATCACGATAGTGATGAATTGCTGACATGCCTGTGATGGACGGCTCCAATGAGAACACCAGGGACGAGCTCCTGTGGCCATGAGGACGTCTCAGTGCTAGACTCGGAGAACGTCAGAACCGGAAGAGAGTTTTAGAGATCAGCAGTCTAACCTCCTCATCTTACACAAGGGGAAACCGAGGCCTCGTGGGGGTGACTCACCCAGAGTCTGGCACATACGGGCTCAGCGCCATGATTGCACTTGTCCCAATGTCCTGACCTACTTCTCTGCTCTCAATAATAGTTCTAGCAGCGATGATACATAAAATGTGCAAAAATAGTGAAACAGATGTAAGGAGTGAGTGGGTCAGAGAGTTCATACGGAGCCCTCTCCCGTCTTCAAGACTCTGCCCAGCAGACTTACAAGGATGGCAGGTGTGTGGATGTTTTCAATAGGGAGAAGGTATAGATATCATCATCATCATTGGTCAATTATGAATGTGGGTAAAATGGACTGGCTGTAAAATCTCGCAACCCCATGCTATATGCAGCAGTCTTTGTGAGCTCTGTAAATCCCTGCTGACGTTGACACTACTGAATCTTCTGCTCCTTAGACCTCTATGACGTTCCCCTTTAGTTCCCTTCAGACCTCTCTCTTCTGTTCCTTGTCATCTTTTTAGAGGACTCGTCTTACTCCGGCAGGCTGGTGCTTCCCAGATCTCATCCAGAGCCCATGGCTCTTCTCTCCCCAGGGACTCTCCTTGTGTGATCTTACCTGCTTTATAGGTCTACCTGCCATGGGTGTGTAATGACTCCCAAATCTGGGTTTGTATCCCCAGCCACTCCCCTGTATTTCACAGTCATACTTTAGTGCCAAGTGAGCACCTCCGTGTTGGAAGCTCAAACATAACTGGTCAGAAAGGGAGCTGGCCACCTCCTGCACCGAGGAGCGCTTCTATTTTTAATCTGTTGACCTGGTGTCACTGTTTAATCGGTGGCCTGAGCTGGAAACCTGGAACTCATTTCTGACTCTGATCTGTCTGGGTCAGTCACAGGCCTGCCGTGTTATTTTCCCACGCCCCATACTTCTTCCCTGCTGGCTAACATTGATGCTGAAGGATCAGCCATCACCTCTCGGAAGCCCATTTTCAATGAGAACCCCACCTCCCAAGGATTGAGATATTCTTTCTCTGTGGTCACCAGTTCCCTTGTGCCTCTGGCTCATGGCGCTTAATGTAGTACATTGATACATTCTGTTTATGTGTGTTGATCTCTTGGAAAATGTTTGTAGATACAAAAGCACTGACCATCTCTTTTTCTTTCTTTCTGTTAGGTTAACGTGACAGTGTCGGGTGGACCCACAGTCATCCCAGCGCCCCTCTGGGGGTTGCTGAGAGTGGGACAACATGGAAGAGAGGAAACATGAGACGGTGAACCAAGCTCATGTCCTCTTTGACCGGTTTGTCCAGGCCACCACCTGTAAGGGGACTCTCAAGGCCTTCCAAGAGCTCTGTGACCACCTGGAACTGAAGCCTAAGGACTACCGCTCCTTCTATCACAAGCTCAAGTCCAAGCTTAACTACTGGAAAGCCAAAGCCCTCTGGGCAAAGTTGGACAAGCGGGGCAGTCACAAAGACTACAAAAAGGGAAAAGCATGCACCAACACCAAGGTAAGGGCTTGGTTCCTCTCGGACCCGGGGTCATTGATGTGAGGATTGACCAGATGTCAAAGAGAAGAACTGGGTAGAGGTTTCTACATTGTTGAAACACTGTGAATTCATGACCTTAGTTTGTTGGACTCGCTTGGCCCAGACCCTGTTCTAAGCATATTTCATGTATTTATGTATTAAATATGCAACTATTTAAGAGCAACCCTGAAGTCCAGTGGCATAGGAACTTTTATTTTGCTGGCATGCTCGGTGTGAACCTCACACTGTTAGGAGGATGTAGGTCACTTAGCAGGCCACCGTGCCCTGTTAGTGTCTAATCTGAACATAGCTTCGTGGTTCTTGGAGTACTGTTTTCCATGCTCAGCAGCTGGTAAGGTATAGTATTTGCCAACTTGGGGATTTGCCACAAGCTTCAGACCCCTTCCCATCCATGTTCCAAAGGTTTGTTTTTTAAAATTTTTTATTTTAAGGATGCGGGGTCCAACTCAGGGTTAGGGATACAAATGTTCATTACGCAGGTACCGTTGTTGACGAGGTGTGCCCCCTCTTCCCCAGGCAGACTCCCACTACTGCCAATCCCTTTCTTATAGTATTAGGATAATTGTTTAAGGTCCACTTATGATTGAGAACGTGTGGCACTCAGCTTTCTGTTTCTGTGATAGATCACTGAGTATGATAGACTCTAAATCATCCAAGTTGCTGTGAAGTCCATATGTTTGTCAGATGTTTGTTTTGATTCATAAGAAAGGACCTTGTGAACCGAAGTATTTCTGTTACTTTCTTCATAGTGTAGAGAAACAGGGTTTCCACGAAGCACGTAGACCTGAGCAATGACCTGAGATAGGCACTCACCTGTTCAGGGCAGGGTCTGAGGAAATGGAGAAGAAAAGCCACTTTTCCGACTTCCCTCCTTAGAAGAACACCTGTGAGAAATTTGGAAAAAGCTGGCAGGGACACAACATTTGCAGTTGGCATCATGGCTCTGTTATTATGTCCTTTCACAAGCTTTGATTTGCACAGTGTGAATACTTAGCAACCCAGCCCCAGTGGACTTGCAGTAGGGTAGATATTCACCAGCGGAATTCAAGACATTTGAAGGCATGACTTTTACGAGTGGATCCTGGGCTTGAATTAGGAATAAAAGGAATGCAAAACCAAAAGCATTGCTTGTCTTCCTCCTGCATGATTGGCACAAGTTAATTAGGTATCTTCTCTCACCTTGGGTACTTCTCTGGCGTATGGATTTTCTTTTCTTTTCTTTTTTTGAGTTGGAGACTCATTCCGTCGCCCAGGCTGGAGTGAGCACACTCACAGCCACCCCAGCATCAACCTGCTAGGCTCCAGCGATCCTTCCACCTCAGCCTTTCAAGAAGCTGAAACTACAGGCATGCGTTACCAAGCCCAGCTAATTTTTAATTTTTTTATTGTAGAGATGAGGTCTTGCCAAGTTGCCCAGACTGGTCTTGAATCTGCGGGCAGGCAATCTACTTGCCTCAGCCTCCCAAAGTTCTGGGATTACAGGTTGAGCCACCAAGCCCAGCGAGTATGGATTTTCAAGATTATTTCTGTGAACCTTCAGTCTAGAATTGGGGATTTTGCAACTCTCTTCAGCACCTAAAATTTTGGGATCTTAAAAGTTGCCTCCTGGGAATCAGTTGAGTGGTAGATCCATTCCAGGTATCTAAGATTGCCTAGGCTATGTATCTATAATCTTGTCTCCTTGAGCAGAAATCTGTTTGATTTAGAAACCTTCCAGAAGGTCCTGTCCTGTTGATGTAAGATTAGATGTGCTTTTCATAACATTCGTTGAAGTGATAGCTCATTTAAGTATTTTGCATATCTACCCATTTAAATATGTTGCAGGGCCAGGTACAGTGACTCGCATCTATAATCCCAACACTTTGGGAGGCCGAGGTGAGAGGATTGCCTAAGCCCACTGGTTTGAGACTAGCCTGGGCAACTTGGCGAGACCTCATCTCTACAATAAATCAAAAAATTAGCTGGGCATGGTGGCGCATGCCTGTAGTTCCAGTTACTTGGAAGGCTGAGGCGGAAAGATCACCTGAGCCCAGCAGATCAAGCATGTCACTGCACTCCAGCCTGGGTGACAGAGTGAGACTCCGACTCAAAAAAATATGTTGCAGGTCGAGGGCCATATAGGCTATCCGAGGTGAATATATGCTGGGTTTGTGTCTAGCACTGACAGTTCAGTCATCTCTATCCAGAATCACTAACTCTTTTCTCAAGCCATCGCAGGTCCTCTGCTATGACCCAAATGGACGTGAAGCCTTCTTGGTAGTGGGGAGAATAACCCTATTTGGGAACTTTGGGGAATGATGGTTACAAGATCATGAAACTTGTCTAGAAATGTTCCTCAAGAGTTACTTCCTTTGGCCTGAAAGCAGCTTTGTTTTTCAGTGTCTCATCATTGGGGCTGGCCCCTGTGGTCTCCGCACAGCCATTGACTTATCCTTGCTGGGGGCCAAGGTGGTCGTCATTGAGAAGCGAGATGCCTTCTCCCGCAACAACGTCTTGCATCTGTGGCCGTTCACCATACATGATCTGCGAGGTCTGGGTGCCAAGAAGTTCTATGGCAAGTTCTGTGCCGGAGCCATCGATCATATCAGTAAGTAGACCCGGCTCCCCTGGGGATTCCACCCCAATCTCTACACACTTATTCAGCAGAAAGAGACAGGGAGGTGATCGGAGGAATTCCTACTCCATTCAATCTGTTGTTGTCTCATCAGTGTCTATCTGGTAGCAAGCATACTCTGTTTGGAGTAAAATTACCTGCCATGCAGTGCTTCTGTAATCTAGGACTCTTAACCACAAGCGTATCTTCTGCGAAATGTGGAGATGGGCTTGAGGATTTCTAAGTTAGGCCTCAGATGCTCTCTGAGCTTTTGCAGTGTGTGGGATGGGCCCTGGGGCCAGGCATTGGGAAACAGATGACCACTTTGGTCCTGAATTCTCTGGTAGTCCTTGGTCCTGTGGAAGAAGGACACAGGCTTGCGGCCCTCCAGTGTGATTTGATACATGCTTTCCTACGGTAATAGCGGAGTACTCTGGAGCACGGTCATAAGGAAACCACACTTTGAAGCAGAGTCCTGGCATGGTCATGACTGGCAACGGGGGAATGGGATTTCTTAGGTTAGATGGTTCCTGTTAGGTCCACAGCCAGAACAGCTCTGTTACTCTTGTCATCTCTAAGCTCAGCTGGGCCTGTGCCTTTCTGAGATCCTACAGGGTATAAGGACAAGTTCATGCAATCAGTGATGTTTGACTGTAAGTAGCCTGTCCGAAAAGCAATTCAGAACAGATAGTATGTGCATTATGAAGTTAAAGTCTTTTTTTATTGATTGTCGTTATTGATTCCAGGAAGACTTTATCAAGGAACCTTTGTCCCATGCTCCTCCAGGTGTGTCCTGTAAACACATTCAACCACTAAACTTTTTGCTGTTTTGCAGCAGTGGTTTTTATCAGGCACTGGCCAGCAGCTGCCACATTCCACTGGTAGTGGAAGGGCTCTGCCCATCCGTCGGGCTGTAATTTGTAAAGCATCTTGGAACCCACAGTTGTCTGCAAAAATAAAACATGTGCTAGCACAGGATTTAGTGAGTCTTCGGGACTGTGACTCAGAAGGGTGGTGGTTGTGGTAAGCCGGGAAAAATAACCAAGATGACTTAGAGGAGGATTTGCATGTGCTCCCAGCAGATTAGTCACGGGCTGCAGGTAAGTTTGGTTTTAAGGGCAGATCGAGGGTTGATAATTCACTTAATCTCAGAATTTCTGCCTTTATGTATGGCAGGATTCATTTCGAAGCTGAGGGGGGTCTTAGATCAGGGCTAGATCTTTCTTTCTGTGTACCTGAAGTCACTGTCAGGTCTGGCACCTGGCCAGTACTCAAGGTTGTCAATCATTCTGAGCCTCAGTTTCCACAGCTGTAGACCAGGGGTTGGAAGGGGGGATGGTAAGAAGAAGCGGCTGGACTGTGATTTCCCTTCTTTACTTCATGGGAATGTGTCCCGATCAGTGCGGGAGTGGGATGCAAGGTGCTGTGAGCATCTCAGGAAGCCGTGCAGCAGCTCTGCATGAGATTGTGGAAAACAGGCCGTGGGTGCACATCCTCTGTCTCCTGCGGTGAGATGCTGCTAATATGGTGGCTCTGAGTCAGGGGACGAGGGAAAGGGGTCTCCTGTTGGCCACAATCCCATGCTATCTCAGAGCTTCTGATTGCTCACAATATCTCGCCCACGAGGTGGAAGCAGCCTACGTGTCTCTCCAGAACATCTTTTCCACCGGACTATATCTCCCTTAAAAAGGACGAAAGCCGTTACAGAGCATGGTTTTGAACATTTCCCCTGCCAGACAGACCTTGAGAATCTGAATGAAAGATGTCTAGTAGTAGAGGGGTGGGAGCCTGAGCCATGACCGAGGAAAGGGCACCCCCTTCTCTGTGTGTTCCCACCAACACCTCTGTACTCATCCAGGTATCCGTCAGCTCCAACTCATACTTCTGAAAGTTGCCTTGATCCTGGGCATTGAAATCCACGTCAACGTGGAGTTCCAGGGACTTGTACAGCCTCCCGAGGACCAAGAGAATGAACGTAAGTTGGATTGGATGAGTGAAGAGGGCATGAAAGGACACTGAAGGGTGAGGAACTATGAGAACAAGGGAGAAGCCAGAGGCATCTGTGGGCTGTTTTCAGAACGAGTTGAAGGGGCTGCTGCTTTCACACCGTCTGTGCCTTTGGGGACTTGGCTTGATGAGGAGGCTCTGACACGGTGTAGACAATCACGGGCCCTTGGGTGGTGGGGAAGGTCCCTTGGGATTCTCTTCGGGGCCTTTTTCTTTCTGGAGTTTGTCCCCACTGCTGTTATGCTTAGTACTTTTGGCTCGGAATTTTGTTTTCTGTGGGCCTGGGAGCCTGGAGCTGGTCCTGGCTGGGTGAATGTGGTCTGGGTGGTGACTCCATTATTTGGCTTTGGTCCACAGGGATAGGCTGGCGGGCACTGGTGCACCCCAAAACTCATCCTGTGTCAGAGTATGAATTTGAGGTGATCATCGGTGGAGATGGCCGGAGGAACACTCTGGAAGGTATTGGTTTATGCTCGTTTGCCTGCTCATAGCCAGGTGAAGGCTGTCGTTGCTCCACCCCTGGGGTGGGAGTTTGTGTGACCAGCACTTATGCCTCTAACAGCCTGCACGTGTGCGTCATGCTCTAATTGAATGGTCCCGGGGCTGCTTGCTGGAGCACTAGGAGACAAGCCAGACTTTGAGTGGTTGGCATTGCAGGTTCAATCTATGTCCTACTAAGTTGGTGTCTCCACCCCCCCCTTTTAAATGGAATCCCTAGTACTAAGTAATACTCTGGGTCACAGTGGTTCGCACTTGTAGTCCCAGTACTTTGGGAGGCAGAGGCAAGAGGATTGCCTGAGCCCAAGGTTCGAGACCAGCCTGGACAACTTGGCAAGACCTCGTCTTTACAATAAATCAAAAAATTAGCCAGTGGCGCTCACCTGTGGTTCCAGCTACTTACAAGACTGAGACGGAAGGATCGCCTGAGCCCAGCAGGTTGAAGCTGTGGTGGCCAAGAGAGTGCCACTGCACTCCAGTGTGGGCAACAGAGTGAGACTCCAACTCAAAAAAAAAAAAAAATCCAGGCATGGTGACTCACACCTGTAATCCCAGTACTTTGGGAGAACAAGGCAAGAGGATGGCTTGAGTCCAGGAGTTTGAGACCAGCCTGGGCAAAATAGCAAGACCCTGTCGCAAAAAAAAAAAAGTCTGTGGTGTAGGAGACTTTGAGTTTCTTCCACAATTGTTCTGTCTTTGGTAGGGAAGCACCTTATTTTCAGATAAAGAATAGCTGCCCTAAAATGTTTCCATTGCATCTTGCCTGCCTCTCCCTAATGTCTTCATCAACATTCCCCTTTCATTTGAAGTGTTCCTTCTTCTCTTGCCAGCCATCGCCACCTCCGAAAATTTCTTTCCCTGCAGGATTTCGTCGGAAAGAATTTCGTGGCAAGCTGGCCATTGCCATTACAGCCAATTTTATTAACCGAAATACAACAGCAGAAGCCAAAGTGGAAGAGATCAGCGGTGTGGCTTTTATATTTAACCAAAAATTCTTCCAGGAGCTGAGGGAAGCCACAGGTTGGTGTAGGGGCCTTCAGTGCCATAAGGATGGAAATTTAAACAAGCCCTCTTCACTTTTTTCTTGGGCACTTTGTGGGGTGGAGGCTGTTGATGTCGTTGCTACGCCCTTTGCCTCTCCGTGCTCTCTTCACTCCCAGGCCTGTTCTTGACCCAATGCTTCCCACAGACCTCGCGTCCGCTTCTAGTATTCTTAGTCCTTGCCACAGTGACTGGGCAGCTTGGGGTTTTGTGTTTATTTGTTTTTAAATGTTCATTCTAGGCCAGATGTGGTGGTTCATGCCTGTAATCCCAGAGAGGCTGAGGTGAGAGGATGGCTTGAGCCCAGGAGTTGAAGACCAGCCTGGGCAACATAGCAAGACCTCATCGCTACAAAAAAATTCAAAAATTTAGCTAGGCATGGTGGCACACCCTTATAGTCCCAGCTACTCAGGAGGCTGAGGTGGGAGGATCACCTGAACCCAGGAGGTTAGGCTGCGTGAGCCGTGACCATGCCACCGTACTAGGGCCTGGGCAACAGAGTGAGACTCCAACTTAAAACATATAAAAATAAATTTCTTTCTGTTGTCTGCACCTCCTTCCCACCGCCTTCTTCTATACCATGTTACTAATCATGCTATCGATATAGCAAGCAGCTAGTTGGTAGCTCTCTGGTTTGATTGAGAACCCGACCAGAGGTTTTCTTCCTTAGTTCCGACTGGGACTTGAATGTATAAACCATGGGCCAGCTAGGAAAGAGATTGCTGTGTGATAGCTGTATGATTAACTTATGTATTTTGCTAAACTTACCTTTATTCTCTTTTTTCTAGAACTTGATTTTTTCCCTCGCTACACCTATTTTTTAGATTAATTGAATTAAAAAGTCAGTGATTCACTCCCTGCTTCTAGACATCAAGTTGTCTGTCCTTTCCGTAAGAATTTGGGAGAGCCTTGATGACTATCAAAGAGGCTTAACCTGATAACTAACCCAAACCCTCTTTAGAGCTTAGCCTCCTTTTTTGTTGTTTTGTTTTGGTTTCCCCTCCTTATCGTTCTGTTAACCATCAGTCCTCGTTTTTAAAATCATCTGGGGTGTCGAGTGAATGCTAGAATGGCACAAAGAGAAACAAAACTCCTCTTCTTTTTATGAATCCATGTTGCAGGAAGAGAGAATCTGGGCTTAGACAGCTTTCCCCCTGGAGTTTTATAGCCCTTGTCTCTAGACTATGCACAACCCTTCCGGCTACCTTAATGTAACTTCATCTCAGCGAACTCTTAACACACACACACGTTTGTTTTCTGACCCAGGTATCGACTTGGAGAACATCGTCTACTACAAGGATGACACGCATTATTTTGTTATGACAGCCAAAAAACAGAGTTTACTGGACAAAGGGGTGATACTGCATGTAAGCAATGGATTTCCTTCAGACCTCTTTTTTGGTTAATGTGATCACCAAGAGAAAGCGTTTTATTGTCTGATGGCTTTTCCTGAAAGAGAATGAAATGAGCACTGAATGCATCTTCTGGTAACCCCTGATGTTTTTCAGCTTGACTTTAACAGTGTTTATTATGACTGATTTCAAATGTAACAACAGTGCGAAGAATAGTATGATGAACCTTTATGCGCCCATCATCCAACTTTAACAATTCTCAACACGCAGCCAATGTCGTGTCAGAAATACTTCAGCACACTCCTGTTCTTGCCATTGAGTTGTTTCAAAGCAGGTCTCAGATAGCATTTCATGCATAAATATTCTGTTCGATTTTAGGTGATATGTGGTTCTAGTGAGGTCCACATGTGATCAATTACTGACTGGTGAACAGGACATGTTTTGGGAGGGAGGATGGTAGAAGGAAGTAAGGAGTTTGACCGAGAAGCAATAATTGTGCCCTGAAGATAAGGATCTGAAATACAAAATTAGAGAATCACAGGGTGCATGGTTCCTCAAGGAGAGTTTCTTACATCTTATTTGGTCTCATTGGTCTGAATATGAAAACTACTGTCCCCATGTGACAAGGAGGACAGAAGCAAAGTGGTACCAGAAGCACTGATTCAGGCTTGAGAGTTCCCACCAGAGACTCACAGCTGAGCTTCAGGGGATCCTTTGTCTTCGCAGGATGATAATGAATCAGGTCACTTTAGTCTGAGTGACACTGCTGCCTTATCTCAGAGCAGCGTGGGGTGTGAGCTGGCTAGCACATGCCTCAGCTCAGAGACCCGTTTCCATCCGGGAGTCTTGGGTCTGTTTCTCAGCACAGCGACCCTATAGTGTGCAGGGAGAAACAGGACAAAGCAGCCTGGCAGCTCATTCTCCCAAAAGCAGAAGCAAGATGTATTTGGTCAGCTGCTTCATAAAATTGGTTTGCTGGTTATCTGGGACTCCATAGGAGTTACATTGCTTTCAATAAGAGGGAGCCAGTGAAGCAGTTAGTCTGCCTTGGGCCTAAATGACTACTTAAATCTGCCGTCTAGGCAGAAATGTGGTTATCAGTGGAAATTAGATAGGAGCCATCTAGAACGCCAAGACCTGATTTACTTTTCCTTTCTATGTGTTTGTTTGGGCGGCAGGGGCCATGCCTCCTTGTGTGCTGTTAAACACTAAACCCATTGTAGCCACTTGCTCAGTGTTGAGCAAACAGTACTCCCAGGACTAACCAGAGTGTTTGTGTTTTGGCTTTGACATCTTGTAGTGGTGGCTGCAAGGACCATCAGGGGCCCTTAGAAGCCATAGGCCCCACTTTAGGAGAATAAAGACTTGGTTCCGTTTGCCAGGAACCTCCTAAACAGAGACGGAATTTTTCGGTCCTCTGGGTAGAGAGCCCAGTTTCTCTTGTCATTGTCCTTCATTGGTGGGTTTCGGTAGAGACTTTCAGAGGCTTACTTATTATTTTGAAAACCTTTGTTTCATTTGCAGTGTATTCCTTCCCAGCCTCCTGGGCTGTTGCCCCACCTTCGTATCTTGGCACTAGAGCTCTCGGATGTTTCCGGTCGGGTTCATGAGTTAGCTGTATGTTTCATGGGTTTCCCTTTGCCCGTTTGCTTACTACCCAGAAGATAACGATTGCCAATGATAACAAACTATAAAATGCTTTTTCAGTTCTCAAAGTACCAGTGCATAAATTTATATTTAGAACAGCTCGCCGGGCTCGGTGGCTCAGCCTGTAATCCCGCGCCTGGGGAGGCTGAGGTGAGTGGATTGCCTGAGTCCGCGGGTTCGAGACCCGCCTGGGCAACTTGGTGAGACCCCATCTCTATAATAAATCAAAAAATTAGCCGGGCGTGGTAGCGCGCCTGTAGTTCCAGCTACTTGGAAGGCTGAGGCGGAAGGATCTCTGGGGCCCAGCAGGTCGAGGCTGCGGTGGCCGGGAGCAGCCACTGCACTCCAGTCTGGGCGACAGAGTGAGACTCCAACTCAAAAAATAAAGAACAGCTAAATACAAAGGTGGATTGGACAAAATCAAAGGAGTAGTGATTTGCTCCAAGTTAATGGAAAAGCCACGACTGTGTGTTTAGAATGCTCTCCTGGGAACAGCTCCCCTTTCTTTCAAACTCTACGAAAGCTTTAGGTTTGAAATATGAGTTCATGTTAGGGGACAGGAGAGGCTGCAACACTGGGCTGTGTCCTGCCATATGGAGGAGCATGGCTCTGGCTGACCTTGGGCAGCCCTGCCGGGGCTCCTCCATCTCAAGCACTTCTCTCTCTGGAGACAGGACTACGCCGACACAGAGCTCTTGCTCTCCCGAGAGAATGTGGACCAGGAGGCGCTGCTCAACTACGCCAGGGAGGCGGCGGACTTCTCCACCCAGCAGCAACTGCCCACTCTAGATTTCGCCATCAATCACTACGGGCAGCCCGACGTGGCCATGTTTGACTTCACTTGTATGTACGCCTCCGAGAACGCCGCCTTGGTGCGGGAGCAAAATGGACACCAGCTATTAGTGGCTCTGGTTGGGGACAGCCTCCTGGAGGTGAGTGCTACGGGTGGCAGCACTTTCTGGTGGAGGCGGTCGTCATTTAGAATGAATCTGAGCATCCTGGTTGTAAGATCAGAGTCTACTGTGGTGTACAGCCCAGGCAGGCTCCCTGCAGGAATCACACCAGGCAGGAGGGGAAGGTGGCAGGCTGCCAGGAGCTCAGACCTACTAAGGACGGGTGGAGACTGTGCCCCTTCGGGGACTTGCCCCTCTACCAATTTGGGAAGCAGAGAAGTTTGTTATCTGAACGGTTGCCAAACAGTTCCTGCCAACAGCAAATTCTTTCTTTGTTACTTAGTTTAGTTTGAGTTTTGAGAGGTGACTTATTTTAATTCTTTCTTTTTCTGTTCTCCTTCGTAGCCATTCTGGCCGATGGGTACAGGAATAGCCCGGGGCTTTCTAGCTGCTATGGACTCTGCCTGGATGGTACGAAGTTGGTCTCTGGGAACAAGCCCCTTGGAAGTCCTGGCAGAGAGGTAATGGGAATTAACCCTGGGCGCTTCCAGGAGAAAACTGGGAAGGAGTAGTTTAGTCTTCAGGCAGGGTACACATAAGATGTTTTCATATTTAAGAGATATGGGGCGGTCCGGCCTCGGTGTCTCAGCCTGTAATCTCAGCACTTTGGGAGGTTGAGGCAAGAGGATTGCCTGAGCCCACGGGTTTGAGACCTGCCCGGGCAACTTGGCAAGACCTCATCTCTACAGTAAATCAAAAACTAGCCGGGCATGGTAGCACGCACCTGTAGTTCCAGCTACTTGGAAGGCTGAGGCAGAAGGATCGCCAGAGCCCAACAGGTCGAGGCTGTGGTGGCCGGGAGCGTGCCACTGCACTCTAGTCTGGGCGGCAGAGTGAGACTCCGACTCAAAAATAAATGAATAAAAGATAAGGGGCAAGATAGTATGCCATAAAATTTATAGAAACCGAAAGATTAATCTACTGCTTGTCTGTTATCCCTTTCCAGTGTTGGAGAGGAAATTAAAAGTGGCTTTGAATTAAAAGGAAAATACCAAACTGCTCGTAAACGTTTCTCCAACCCCTAACTGTCAGATATTTTGAAGCAGATTTTGAAAATGAGATGAAAACTCTAGGATCTGCTTGCTGATAAAGAACCAATGCCTTGACCGGAAGAATGAGAGGGAGGTGAAACTGGTGGTTGATATCAGTTTATTCTCCATCTTTACTTAAGGCATCCTGGCTAAATGTAATGGCAAGTTCTAGTTTGATATATGATTTTCTTAAAAACGGAAGTAAGTATTGGCATATTTGAAAAAACAAAACATGAAATGAGTTGCTTTTTGACTTAGCCTCAGGCATCTGTAATTGCTGACAGCATTGCACCTGTTCTCCCTGGCTCCCACCCAGTCCAGTGCTGGTGGAATCATTGAGTTGGTAGGTCTGGGAAGCAAGGGCTGATGGAGAGTTCAAGAAAACTGGTCAGGGATGAGGATTTGTCATGAACTTCAGATAATCTGATGGGCTGTCCAAAACAGAAATACGTAAAAGGAGGGGGAAGTATCTCTGGTGCTTTTCCCTGCTGTGAGTACATTGCTGTATGTTATTGCAGGGAAAGTATTTATAGGTTGCTGCCTCAGACCACCCCTGAGAATGTGAGTAAAAACTTCAGCCAATACAGCATCGACCCTGTCACGAGGTACCCCAATATTAACGTCAACTTCCTCCGGCCAAGCCAGGTAAGAGTCTTCCAGTCACCTCTCTCCTTCTGGGCCCATTCTCAGGCCTGATCAAAACTGTGACAAACCGAGATGCAGATAGCTGTTAGTACCAAACATATGCAGGGCACTGTTTTAGTAATCCAAGTAGATGTTTCTCTGAATTAGTGGAGGTAGATACTATTTTCCATCAACAAATTGATCGTCCAAAGCATAGAATTGCCGAATGGCCAAGATCAAACATGATAAAGATGGTGGGTCCAGGACTGGATGTCACATCTTCTCATTCAAATCGCATATTATAGGAGAAAGAGTACTTGTCAGGGATGTGACTTCCACTTGCATTGTAGCATTATTGTTTCTATTCACCTGTGAGTAGGACAGGTGATTTACTGTCTTGGAACCTCAATTTCATCTCCTGAAAAATGGAAGGAATGATCCCTGCCCACTTACAGGACCACTGTGAGGGCAAATGGGATTGTTCACTTGAAAGAATAAAAGGATAAAACATTCCCTACTAATAAAAAACATTATAAGTTAGTTGATTTTTTTTTTTTTTTTGGTGCTACTGAGATGTTTCTCAAAAATTCCTGAAGCTACTCTGTACTGCATTAAGAATGACATCCTATGAAGCATAATGACACTAAAGAATGAGACAAGGCCAGGCATGGCGGCTCACGCCTATCATCCCAGCACTTTGGGAGGCCAAGGTGGGAGGATTGGTTGAGCCCAGGACTTCGAGACCAGCCTGAGTGGTATAGTGCGACCCTGTCTTTCCAAAAATAAAGAACAATTTGCCGGATGTGGTGGTATGTGCCTATAGTCCCAGCTACTCGGGAGGCTGTGGCGAGAGGATCACTTTGAACCCAGGAGTCTGAGGATGTGGTAAGCTGTGATCATGCCACTGCACTCTAGTCTGGGTGACAGAGTGAGACTCTTGATGCAGAAAAAAAATGGTGGGACCCTTTTAGAAAGCAGTCTGCTTGATCTATCTGCTTACGTTCTGGTATAATTTTCTACTCACTTCCTAATTGAAGTTTAGGCCATTTGTGTGCATATGTGCTGAGTTCTTAAGGTGTCCATAAAATCTACTGTTAATTAATGGTCCAACAGAGACTCGAAGTGACCTCGATGGTTAGGTGCCTAGCTTTCAGCACAACTTCTTACAGTTAATATGCGTTTGTTCCTCTGTGACCCCATTTCATTCCATAAAGGATTTAAAGGTCATCGTCATCATCTCTGTCTAAACTTGGCCCAACCTGCTATTCCAATCTTTCATCTCAGCCGTTCTGCTCCTAGGTGAGAATTTGTTACCTGGTGTTTGATTGTCCTTCTGTTTGACTATATAACCTTCTGCCAGGTGCGCCATTTATATGATACTGGAGAAACAAAGGATATCCATCTGGAAATGGAGAACCTGGTAAATTCCCGAACTACTCCAAAGTTGACTCGCAACGGTGAGTTCAAGCAGTGGTCTTTTGAAGTGCAGGTAACCTTCGGAAACAGCTGTGCTTATGCATTGCACCGGTATATGTCTAAGGCAGCGACTCTCAATCAGGGATGATTTTGCCCTCCAGGGGACATTTGGTGGTATCTGGGGACATTTCTGATTGTCATTATTGGGAGCGGGTGCTACTGGCCTCTAGTGGGTAGAAGCCATGGATGCTACCAAACATCCTATAATGCAGGCAAAAGACAGATCCCAACAACAAAGAATTACCATGGTCTAAGGTATTATGAGGGTATAGAGATAAATCAGATACAGAAGCTGGGGGTAGGGGACAGAGGGAGGGAGAGAGCTAAGGTTTGGGGGAAGACTTTGTGGAAGAATGGTGGCATTTTAGCTAGATCCTGTGACATTGTCTAGGATACAGTGACAAAGGTGAAGGCCACTTCATATTTCATGTGTATGGAAGGCCCCTGAAGACTTTTTTGGGAAAGAGAATGACATGAGCACACCTAGTCAGCCACATGTGAGAAGAAATGGAAAAGGGACGTGCCAGAGGCAGGGACACCTGTTGGAAGGACGTTGAGGTGGCCAGGCTGAAGGTGGGAAGGGCCCCAACTAGTACTGATGCTGGGGACAGAGAAGGGAGGAGGCAGGAGAGGAAAATTCAGATTCTGGGGCCAGGCCAAGTGAAAGCCAGTCCCAGCTTTGCCATTTGGCCTTGAAGAGGCGATTGATCCTCTCTGACCTTCATTTTCTTTGTGAAGTGAGGGTAGCAGTACCTGCCTCCCATGAGATCATGAGGGCTCTGTGACTGTAGAGTGTGCTTACAACAGTGCCTGGCCTCCCTTGTTGACTCCATAAGAGAGAATGGTAAATACCCAGGTGTGGTGGCGTGTGCCTGTAGTTCCAGCTACTTGGAAGGCAGAGGCAGAAGGATCACGTGAACCCAGCGGGTCAAGGCTGCGGGGGCCATGAGCGTGCCACTGCACTCCAGCTTGGGAAACAGTGTGAGACTCCAACTTGGAAAAAAAAAGAATGGTCAAAAGGCAGAGTCAAGGGGTGGTTGATGGCCCTGTGGGGCAAGAGGTAGGTGTTGTTTGATGGTGCTGCGTCAGGGTAGACAGGGCGGTGGGAGAGTCAAGAAGGTTTGAGTTCCATCTGGACATTTTGAATTTGACATGCCATTGGGACATTGAAGTATGAATGAGAACAGGCAATGAGAAGCATTTTCATTTTCTCCACTGGTGTCATCTCCTTGAAAGCAGAGAGTGTATTTTTATTCGGTGTTTATTATCTTAGAGTCTGGAATATTGAAGTTGCCCGTGCATATTGGATAATCAGATATCCAGACTACCAAACATCCTGTAATGCATGCAAAAGACAGTTGATTTCTGAGCCAAGAGATGGCACCAGAAGTGGTTCTATGTGTAGTTCTAGAATATATTTTCACTATGACAAACCTAAATGAAATGGGATTTTGATGATACACAGTTTTGAGTCTTATGTTCACAAATTGCTAAATGACTTAGCACAAAGCTAAATATTTTCAGCTGCCCTAGGTAAAGGAACAGACTTTCTGGAGTAGAAATATTTCACAGATTATCTTAAGCAATCCATATCAGATCTCTTTTGATATGATTAAGAGAAGGATTTTTATAAAGGCTGTTTGAGTTTTGGAAGATATTTCAGTGAACCCCAAAACATCCAAGGGTATGCGTTTGCCTGTTCGTTTTTCAAGATGTGATAATGTATAGTACAAAGGGCCAAATGTGGCCCTGGGTATCTTCTGGCCTGGGTCCTCAGCGTTGCCAGCGTGACCCTGCAGTATTTCTTCACTTGGCAAACTGTTCAGTACTTTGCAAAGTGTAAGAGATGGCTTGGTTTGCGTCTGGTTGAGTGTGCTGCCAGATAGGATGGAACCTTTTCTAATCTAATCTTCCCGATGTTCCTTTGGAAGGAAAAGCCTTCCTCAGCCAATTGCAAGGCAACTAACTCCCCAGGGAAATCCTAGAACGGCTGCCAGTGAGGGTGATCACTCAGTAGGTGGCGCTCTTCCATCTAAGTCAGCATCTGGGAGAGCCATAGCGACGCTGGGCTTCAGCACGGTCAGGCCCCGGTCACCCCAGCTGTGACTGTGTCAGTCGATTAGGATGGACATTGACCCGAGTCTGGAAAAATGGGTAGTTTCTTTTCTACCTAAAATTCCGTGTCACACTACCAGTTACATAAGCTTCTTTCTCACTGTTTTCTTTTGAATGACAGTCTTTCTGTGACTATTTTGTCCCTACCCTCAGCAATTTTTCCAAAAGGATATGTGGACTGCAAAGAGAATCCTATATCAGCGTTACCAGGTGACCACAGTTCCATTAGTAAATTTTTGTTTGTTTGTTTCAGAGTCTGTAGCTCGTTCAAGCAAACTGCTGGGTTGGTGCCAAAGGCAGACAGATGGCTACGCCGGGGTAAATGTGACAGATCTAACCATGTCTTGGAAAAGCGGCTTGGCCCTTTGTGCGATTATCCATAGATACCGGCCTGATCTAATGTAAGTAATGGCCAAACTTTGTGTTTTAGCTTATTTCCCCAAGGATCTCACAGCATCCTGCTATCAAGTAGCCAAATGTTGTCCTTTTTCCTAGAATAAGGAACATAGTAAGAGACCTCTTAAAGGCAGTGGTTTTGATTTAGTTATATTTAAAACTCTCTATGTCAGGGACCATATAGCTCAACCTAGGAAGGATTAGCTGAGTTTTTAAAACCATAGCACTCACAAGTAAAAAGTTCTAACACCCACCTGGGCCTGTTAGCTTTCCACAAAGGAAAACTCTGTTTATTGGCCCCGGGTTGAACTCTTCATTTCGGCCAGCTATCTCTCCAGTCCTATTGGTCACAAGGGAAACCTGGCTAGAACATTTGGCTAGCTCAAGGCAAATATGTCACTACTGACAAAACAAAACACAATGAATGCTTGCCCGATTTATGATGGTTCATTGGTATTTTCTCTTCATTAAAGACTGCACTTTTTGCAGACATCCTCTGCCAAGATCACGAAACTAATGTTGTCCTATCCACCTGTGCGAGTAATATCTCTACTGTATCAAAATCAGTACACCAGGATGACCCCAGGTCAGCTGCAGGGACCAGCGCACTCCGGTTTCCCCTGTCGGCATTTGTTACCATGGAAGCCAAACAAAAAGGTTCAGAAACAGAAGCAGAGCGTGTTGACTTATTATTTTGGCTGCCTGTACTTTTTATCATTAGGTCCACTTAAGGGCCCGATTTCTGTTTGTTTTGTTTTAATGATTAAGAAATCCTAAAAGATGTAGTCCCTATTTATATGACAGTTATAAGCTGATGAGGCAAGAGCTAGTCAAAACAGCCTTGCACAGTGTGGATTAAAAATGGGGATTTCTGATGTGTGTGAGCGAAGGTAAGTGAGTGACCTGGCGCTCCTGTCCCTTAGCTCATCCAGAAGTTGGTAAAAGATAAGTGAAAATAGGACTTCTTTACTCCCATCAAAGCAGGGGGTTGGGGAGGGAGAACAGTTTGGGAAAAATTGTCACAGGGCATAAAATTGCTTCAGGGGATAGGCCAGGTGCATCAGCTCTATTCCAAAGGGAAGGCAAGAGAAAGGACTCAGGCAAAGGTATTGAGGGAACCTAGCGGGGGGTGGGAGGGCGGTCCTGTTCAAACAGGAGCCAGAGGATGCCTGGACCAGGTCTAGGGGACCATCTTTTAGCAGAACACAGAGTAGTGAGGAGATACTTGGCACTGCTTAGACGGCAGTGTCTTCATTCCAGCTGCGTCTCTATAGCGTAATAGGCTTAACCTACAGGGAGAAGGAATTTGAAAAAATGCAACGAGGTCAGTGGGTTCATACAAAATAAGGGCTGCCAGGTTAACCTGAAGTCATCTAAAGAAGATTGCCGTCAGTTCTTCACTCTGAATAGCAAGAAGCTTAAAACCCCGTAGGAAACGTCTGTTAATGTAAGTACTCGGGGAAATTTAGGAGATGTTGCAATGAAAGAATCTTATGAGAAAGGTTTTGGAATTTCCCCGTAAAGAGAATGCGGAATAGGATTTACTAGAGCTGATTTAGTACATTAATAGCTTGTCAGGTTCCAGGCCCATGGTGGGTGATAGGCCTAGGCCTTTAGTCTGATCCAAATTTTTATCTTTATTTGACATTAGTGTAATATGTACAGACCACACACAAGGTGTGAGAGAGCACACATTAAAGAAAGTTCCTGTTCTAGAGCTTACATTTTATTTGTTTATTTTTATTTTATTAATTAATTGACTTCTTTTTTTTAATTGGAGTCTCATTCAGTCACCCAGACTGGAGTGCAGTGGCCGTTCCCGGCCACCACAGCCTCGACTTGCTGGGCTCCAGCAATCCTTCCGCCTCAGCCTTCCAAGTAGCCGGAACTACAGGCGCGTGCTACCACATCTGGCTAATTTTTTTGATTTATTGTAGAGATGAGGTCTTACCTGCCCAGGCGGGTCTCAAACCTGCGGGCTCAGGCAGTCCACTCACCTTGGCCTCCCAAAGTGCGGGATTACAGGCTGAGCCAAGCCCGGCCAATTAATTGACTTTTGAGCCAGTCTTACTCCATCGCCCAGGCTGGAGTGTGGTGGCACAATCGCAGTTCACTGTAGCCTCAACCTCCTGGGCTCAGGTGATCCATCTGCCTCAGCCTCCTGAATAGCTAGGATTATAGGCACCACCACACCTGGCAAATTTTTAAATTTTATTTTATAGGGAGAGGGTCTTGCTATGTTGCCCAGGCTAGTCTTGATCTCTTGGACTCAAGCAATCTTCCTACCTCAGCCTTGCCAAGTGCTGGGATTACAGGCGTGAGCCACCATGCCCGACCTTTGAGCTTGCATTTTAGTGAGACATTTATGTTAATGAAAAAATGAGAGTAGTTTTCAACTTTCTCCCTTTAATGAATAGATCTTCAATCAATTCTTTTTGAGGGTGTGTTTTTTCATTAGTAAAAGGAAGGAGAGCAAGAGGTGAGATAGTCAGGTTTGCTTTTGGATTTTGGTAATGTACCACGCCCTGGGTTTTGGCTGAATGACTGAGAAATGACAGTGCCTTCATGAATCCTGTGTTTTCTGGTTTGGGGACAGTCAACCCATGTTGATACATTTTCCTCATCCTGTTTCTCAGAGATTTTGATTCTTTGGATGAGCAAAATGTGGAGAAGAATAACCAACTGGCCTTTGATATTGCTGAGAAGGAACTGGGCATTTCTCCCATCATGACAGGCAAAGAAATGGCCTCCGTGGGGGAGCCTGACAAGCTGTCCATGGTGATGTACCTGACTCAGTTCTACGAGATGTTCAAGGACTCGCTCCCCTCCAGCGGTAAGGCCCGGCAGCCGCCGGTGTGCGCGCCCGCGTTCCTTGCTCTGCAGTGGCCTGTCTGTTCTTGCTTCCAGCCGCCCTCATCCACGCCACCCAACACAAACCTGAGCTGCCTGTGTGTTTTACTGGTGGGCCATCAGGAGAAGTCTCTGGAACTTGCTCCTTTATCTTCCCATCTCTAGCTGCATCCTCGACTGTTACTTCTTCCCCAGATCTTTCTTACGGAATCCACAAGGATGCAAAAAGAATTAATTCGCATGCAAACTCTTTCTTCTTGACTTTACCACTTTCTCATACCCTTCCTCCCAGAACCAGCCTTTTTGGAAAAGTGACTGATCCTGTGGCCTCTGTTTCCTCTCTTCCTAAACTTGGCGATACGCTCTAGTCCAGCTTCTCTTGGTACCACGCCACTGAAGATGTTCTCTTCGGTCTGAAAGAGTCACCACAGTCGGATTCTTTTCTCATTCTTGTCGCACATGTGCTTGGCTTTTCTGCAGAGTCAGCACTGTGGAACGATGTCCTTTTTGTTCTTGACATGCCCTCATCTTCTTGCCATGCAGGCTCATTCTTCTTTCTCCTGTAGCTTTGCCTTCTCTGGCTTCCTTTTCTGTACTTCCTCTGAGCATTTCCCAAATATCTTCCCTTGGCCCTCAGCTTGCTACCTCAATCTATCACAGTGCCACAAAAAATCTTCCTTTTGTCCTTAACTGTCCTTGGAGTAAGTGTGGCATAATGCTTAACAGTGTTGACTGTGGTGTCTGACCTGGGTTTATGTCCCCATACTTCCACTTGACCTTAAGCAATTTACTAAATTTCCTTGTGTGTTGGTTTCCCCAAATGTAAAATGGAGATAATATATATAATTACCCTTGGATGTACTAAGAAGAATATTTGGCAGATGGAGGCACTTAATAAATGTGAGTGATTTGCTAATAGTTAATTACAGTTTTTAAAAATGTATTCTATTTTTTTTGTAGAGACACAGGGTCTTGCTATTTGACTAGGTTGGTCTTGAACTCTTGGCTTCAAGTGATCTTCCTGCCTCAGCCTCCCAAAGTGCTGGGACTATAGGTGTGAGCCACCGCGCCTGGCTTATTTATTTTTTTGAATTGAGGTCTCATTCTATTGCCCAGACTGGATTGCAGTGGCACAATCACAGCTCACTGCAGTCTCTACTTCCTGGGCTCAGGCAGTCTTCCTGCCCTATCCTCCCAAGTGGCTGAAACAGGCTGCACCACCAAGCCCAATTTGTTTTTTTGTTTTTTGTAGCGACATGGTCTCACTGTGCTGCTGAGGCTAGCTAACTGCTATTTTTTTAATTTCTATTATTACTAATAAAACATCGAAATCCACAAAATGTGTGGTACCCTCCCCCCTTGTGTCTTCTAGTCCATGTACTCTTATAGGCATCTGTGGCTTTTTCTGATTAGATATACAGTTCTTACAACAGAAATCCACAACTCTAACATGAATGTACCCATTCAGGGAGACCGCCCCCACATCAGCTCAGAGCACACATCTGCATATACTCAAATCAACGACCCAAGTTACACAGCTCTTGAATTTTTTCTCTCCCTCTGTTTCTCTCTGTCCTGAAATTTTTATGACAGAAGGGAGACGTCAACACTCTGCTGTAGCTAACAATCACAGCCAGATCCCAACTTTTTTTTTTTTTGAGTCAGAATCTCACTCTGTCACCCAGGCTGGAGTGCAGTGGCATGCTTGTGGCCACTGCAGGTAGCCTAGACCTGCTGGGCTCAGGCGATCCTTCCGCTTCAGCATTCCAAGTAGCTGGAACTATAGGAGTGCACCACCATGCCTGGCTAATTTTTTGTTTTGTTTTGTTTTGTTTTGAGTTGGATTCTCACTCTGTCGCCCAGACTGGAGTGCAGTGGCCGCTCCCAGCCACCGCAGCCTCGACCTGCTGGGCTCTGGTGATCCTTCTGCCTCAGCCTTCCGAGTAGCTGGAACTACAGGCACGCGCTACCACACCCGGCTAATTTTTTGATTTATTGTATAGATGAGGTCTCGCCAAGTTGCCCAGGTGGGTCTTGAACCCACGGGCTCAGGCAGTTCACTCACCTCGGCCTCCCAGTGCGTGGGATTACAGGCTGAGCCACCGAGTTCGGCCTAATTTTTTTTATTTATTGTAGAGACAAGGTCTCGCTGTGTTGCTCAGGCTAGTCTTGAACCTCTGAGCTCAGGCAATCCTCTTGCCTCCACCTCCCAAAGTGCTGGGATTGCAGGCGTGAGCCACCATGCCTAGCCAATCCCAACTTTTAAAAAACAAAAGTGCAGATTTTGATAACCAAAGTAGATCAGGGGAAAAGCGTTGCTTTTGTTTTTGTGGATGGACAAGAGAAGGCTCAGCGTTCAGACCTGAGTGTGTATTTCCTTCACGGAGTTTCCTGCTGAGATCTGCATGTTTTTGTCACAGCTGACGAACCTTTAGAGTATTCTGAGCTTCCACGAGCCACCTGCAAATGGAGAATGGTTCTGGTCAGAAGTTTGCAACACCCTCCAGGGCTGTCCTTGACCATCTCTGGTTTCTGTTCACAGACGCCTTGGACCTGAATGCTGAGGAGAAAGCCGTCCTGATAGCCAGCACCAAATCCCCCATCTCCTTCCTAAGCAAACTTGGGCAGACCATCTCTCGCAAGCGTTCTCCCAAGGTGTGTCAAGGAACATTTTCACTAGCTGTAAAACTAATGGCAGGGTCTGATGTCTAGAATAATGCAATTTCTTTCCTCTCTTGGTACAGGATAAAAAGGAAAAGGACTTGGATGGTGCTGGAAAGAGGAGGAAGACCAGTCAGTCAGAGGAGGTGAGATTCAGCTGGGATTTGCTAGAATGATTATACTGAATTGCCCTTTTTGGTTTAAATCCTTGATTTTCACATTGGTATTGCTAGATCATATTCATCCTCTATGAGACTTTCTGGGGGCAGATGCTTTTTCTTTGGGGTTTTGTCTTTACTTTTCTGGAAGGCATCCAGGGAACATACTCATGTGCACGCTCTGGCCTTCTTGAGCCTTTAGAATCACACATTTGGCAGAGTGCAGTGGCATTCCTGGGACATGGCAATCCTGGTACCAGTCTGAGTGCTCTTCATACTGGTATGCATTTCAGAGTCTCGCTGACTCCGAGTAGACATTAGAACCTGGAAGAGAGCTGCAGAGCTCGGCCCAAAGCCAGACTCCCAGCCCCTGTGCTAGGTCCTGGCCACGCTTCTTCTCGGAGGGAAGGGCGTGTAGGGGCCTCCTGTAACAGCCTGGTTCTTGGGGGCTTGGTGTTGATCAGGAGGATGCTCCCCGGAGCCACAGAGAAAGACCGACGCTGGTGAGCACTCTGACGGACAGGAGGATGGATGTCACCGTGGGGAACCAGAACAAAGTCAAGTACATGGCAACCCAGCTGCTGGCCAAATTTGAAGAGAATGCGCCCCCCCAGTCCACCGGCATCCGGAGACAGGTAAGCACTGTCTCACACCTCGCCCTCCAGACTTAGGTCCCACAGGAAGGTGGGATCCTTTCCATCAAATGAGGTGGGCTGTCATAGACCCTGGGTTCATGGGGCCCAGCCTGGCACCTGGCTTTCCCTTGCTTAACTGTGGCAGAGAAGAGCATTTCATGAGTTCACCTAATGCATTTTGGGCTGTTTGATCCTTAGCATTCGGGTCTGAGTTGTCTGTGACCAAATCAGCAGAGGAATCTAAACCATATATATATATATATATTTAAGTTATAAAAGAAATAAATGCTTATGCTGAAAAGTATGATAAAGAGAATGCAGGCAACTATACTTCTATTTCTGTTCGCTGTATTTCTTTTGGTTCTTTTTTTAGTGCATTCTTATTTTCACAGGCGAGGTCATTCTTTACATATATCGTACTTTTCCATCCTGCTCTTTTCATTGAGCTGTGGGTACATTCCCATGTCGTTACAAACTCTTCAGACACATCTTCTAGAATATGTGGGTGCCATGCTCCTCCTAACTGATGCTCTGAAGGTAGACGTTTAGTTGTTTCTCATCTTTCATAGTAAAATACCCAGGTAAACATTCTTGTGATAAAGCCCCTTCTGTGTGTTACAGATATTTCCTAGGATGTTTTCCCAATAATATGAATATTTGGGGTGCAAAATGGTACTCCCACAAGTCACGTGTGAGGGTGCTGGACAGGCGCATTTGACGTGAGGTGTCTTTGTCGGGCCATGTCTCTCCCCTTGCTTGTCTAAAAGGCACTCGGGCTTATAAGAAGGCTGGGATTTTTGAGATTCACACTGAACATTTCATGTCAAACTCTCAGGTGACTGGAGAGAGTAGCCAGAGTACAGAGGCCCAATCTCTGTCTTCTCCATACTCACCAGCCATTATTCCTATGGGCTAAGGGGTTGAGACCAGCTTTGCTTGGAGTCTGGCCATAATTGATTTCTTCTCACATCTAGTCTTTGCACCATTGGCTATTCATGTTCTGGCTTACAGGAAAGATGATATTCATTGAGACATAGTAGAGGTTGCCTAGAGGCTCTGGCAGCGCCAGGTTTTCCCATCTCAAGAGGGGTGGAATATTCTCCATTAAAGGAAGCTTGCCTCAAAGAGAAGATTGCTTTATTGTTTCATTTTGGGTGGGAAGATGAGTTTTCCAAATCAGAATTAGGAGTATAGGCTCAGAGAGCATTGAGCTTGGGTAAAGGATAATGAGAATTACAGCTTCTGTTTCCTTTTTTTTTTTTTTTTTTTTTGCTTTTACTTTAGGGGAGGTTATTTTATTTTCTTCAAATCTGCAACTGTGAAAAATGAATTCTGCCACCACCCCTCTCATGTATAAAGAGTGAATGTCCTCCTTCGAAGATTGAAGGACTATCACGCATTGACTCATATCATAATGGAATAAAAGTAAATTTTACCACCAACAAGATCCTCGCAAGACACACAAAGACATGGACACTAAACAGCATGCTGCTGAAATCACTTCTGGGTCAACACAGAAAACAAGAGAGAAATAAAATGATTCCAGGAAACAAACAAACAAAGATACATCTTATCAGAATATTTGGGATGCTGTGAAATCAGTGTTA